TTTAAAGTCTAGTTTCTTGAGTTCTTTATATATTTTGGAGATCAGACCTTTGTCTGTTGTGGGGTTGGTGAAGATCTTCTCCCAATCAGTAGGTTGCCTTTGTGTCTTATTGACTATGTCCTTTGCTTTACAGAAGCTTCTCAGTTTAAGTAGGTCCCATTTATTCAATGTTGCCCTTAATGTCTGTGCTTCTGGGGTTATACATAGGAAGCGATCTCCTGTGCCCAGCTCCTGTAGGGTACTTCCCACTTTCTCTTCTATCAGGTTCAGTGTGTTCGGGCTGATATTGAGGTCTTTAATCCATTTGGACTTGAGTTTTGTGCACGGTGATAGATAAGGGTCTATTTTCATTCTTCTACAAGATGACATCCAGTTGTGCCAGCACCATTTGTTGAAGATGCTTTCTTTCTTCCATTTTATACTTTTAGCTCCTTTATCGAAAATCAGGTGTTCATAGGTTTGTGGGATAAAATCCGGGTCTTCTATACGATTCCATTGGTCGACTTCTCTGTTTTTATGCCAGTACCACACTGTTTTCATTACTGTAGCTCTGTAATAGAGTTTGAAGTCAGGGATGGTAATGCCTCCAGAAGATCCTTTATTGTATCGCCCTCTTATACACAAAGGATATGGAAGCAGAGAGGGAAATCAGAGAAGCTTCACCATTCACAATAGCCAAAAACAGCATAAAATATCTTGGGGTACATCTAACCAAGGAAGTGAAAGATCTATTTGACAAGAACTTTAAGGCATTGAAGAAAGAAATTGAAGAGGATACCAAAAAATGGATGGACCTCCCTTGCTCTTGGATTGGGAGGATCAACATAGTAAAAATGGCAATTCTACCAAAGGCTATTTATAGATTCAATGCAATCCCCATCAAGATCCCATCAAAATTCTTCACAGATCTGGAGAGGACAATAATCAACTTTATATGGAAAAACTTCAACTAACTATTAACCTTGGGTTCATTCTGGTCTTTTGCCAGGACAACCAGTCATTCCAGGCATACATACTATCTTTAGGCAAGGCTTTCTGACCAGGTACCAGAAAACAGATAACACTTTTATTGCCAAGAGTGACACAGGGCAAGCCACACACACACACACACACACACACACACACACACACACACACACACACAGAGAGAGAGAGAGAGAGAGAGAGAGAGAGAGAGAGAGAGAGAGAATTTCAGTTTCTTCCTTTTTATCTATGTAGTAAGTAATCAGAGGGTTTCCTCCAAGTAAGTGAACTGAAAAAGGAGAACTATCCAAATTTGTTCCTTTTGAATAGTGAGAATCGAATGAGATAAATAAATGATATGATTCAAAGCAATGCTTATGCTAAGGTGGGTTAATATAAGAGTACTTGGGTCCTGGGGTCCAGTCATAGAGAGGAAGGTACAATAATATAAACAAAGGGGACAAGACCCTGATGGTAAAACCCACAGAAACAGCTGACTTGAGCAAATGGGAGCTCACTGACTCTGGATTGACAACAGAAGAACTTGCATAGGACCACAGTAGGCCCTTTGAATGTGGGTGACAGTTGTGTGGCTTGGTCAGTTTGTGGGACCACTAGCAGTGGAACCAATATTTATCCATAGTGCATGATTTTTTAGAGCCCGTTCTCTATGGAGGGGTACTTTGCTCAGATATGGTGTGTGTTTGTGGGGAGGGGGTGCGTTGGGCCTGCCTCAAGTGAGGACTTTACAGACTTTGTTGATCCCCCATAGGAGGCTTCACCCTCTCTGAGGAGTGGATGGGAGTGGGGTGGAGGGAGGTGGGGGAGCAGGAGGAGGGGAGGGAGAGGGAACTGAGATTGGTATGTAAAATAAGATTGTTTAAAAAAAGAGAGTACTTGGTGATGCTTGGACATTTAACCATGGAATGTACTCAGAAATACACGATGGTTAGAAACACATTTGGTTGTAAGTCAGAGAGCAACAAACACGATGGACTTGTCCCTTTAATGTTCTGATTTCTTATTGTACCTCCTTTCAGAGGCTGAGTCTATAATGACAGCAACATTTCCTATGGAGGATATTAAGCAAGTCCAAGGTCTCAGGCCTTTTAGTCTGGGCAAAGCAGAGGGATAGAAAGCCAACAGTGCAGGCTGGCTTGTGGTCATCTGATTGAACAGATGCATTATCTCTGTGCATCTCCCCTTCCCGGAACTCTGTCAACCTCCTCAGAGCCCTCGTCTGAGCTCTCAGTACCCTGCTATTTCCTGAGAACCCAGTCGGCAGAGTGCAGTGAGCTAAGACTGCTTTGGGCTATGTCTCAGCTCTGAGCTGGGTTGCTCTCCTTCATCTTCTGCAGAACTCCTGTGCCCAGCTGCAGTAGCCTGCGAACCTGGACACTGCCAGGTGAGCTGAGCTAACTCCCTCTGAGGGTCGAGCAGGCAGTCCACGGCTTGTGCAGACGAATCCGCCACTTTGTTTCCTTGACTTGTGTGGCTCTAGGAAAAGACACCTTTGACTTAAAATCTTCCCAGGAAAAGGAGATCTGTTCATTAAATGTATGGCAAGTCGTAGGTACGTTCCAATTTCCAAAGGGCTAATATGCAAAAAATATGTGTATTTTGAGGGAGAATGGTATTTTAAAAACCCAAGAATTTACATGATCTCGAGGGCACGTGATTCAGTATTCTGCTCTTTTCTTATTAAGTCAACACTGGTGAACTTGGGTACACTCTTAGGTCAGAAGTCCCCTGCACTTTACTTAGCCTTATTAGTTAGGCCTGATGACCTGGTCAAACCCCGCATGCCAGGTAGGGTTTCAGAGACTGCTCTGACAACATAGGAACCCAGTGCCCTATTTCCTTAGAGCTTGACATAGCGGGTACCAACTCTCTCCCACGGCTGCACTACAGCAAAATTGCTAGTAGACAGTAAAGCCCTTTGGCCTTCCATGGTTGTCCAGGGCTCGGAGTGACACTGGAAAACAGGTGCAAAGCCACTGGCTGGAGAGAAACATTAACCTCATTCCTGTAGCTTGTGCCATCTCAACTGGCCCTGTTCCCACCTTTCTTCCTACCCTCCAAGTAGAACGTTTTAAGAAGTCACCATGCTTCTAGAGAGTTCAGTTAACAGCTTATGTTGAAGTAAATATGGGACGGCAGTAGGAATTTTATCTTGCTTATTAAACAATAAAGTTGGATTTTTCACATTTTGGATGAGTTGTAACAAAGACAAAGTATCAAATATATCTCAGTGTAAAGCATAGAACTTGAATTGAAAGATTTATATCAAGAAAGGAACCTTGGATGGTAATCCAGCCAGCACTGTTCTTTTTGCTCTGGGTTTTTCGGGCTATCTAGGGTCTCTTGTGGTTCAACATGAATTTTAGGGTAGGTTTTTTTCCCCCACTATTTCTGTGAAGAATGAAATTGAGAATTTGGTTGGGTTGCACTGAATCTGTAAATATCTTTTGGTAGCATGGACATTTTTCACAATATGAATTCTCTCACTCCATGAACATGGAATATCTTTCCATTTTCTAGTGTCTTTCTCTAATATCTCTTTCTTCGGAGGCTTAATTTTTTTCTTGTAATTGGCTTTCAATTCCTTGGTTAGGTTTATTCCTAGATATTTTTATTTTCTTTGAGGCCGTCATAAATGGGAGTGTGTCCACATCTCTTCCTCTGTATGTTTGTGAAAAGCTATTAATTTGTAGAAGTTGATTCTGTTTCCTGCTGCACTGAACTTGCCATTTCTAAAAGTTTTCTGGTAGAATTGTCAGGATCTCTAATGTATCATATTATATCTACAAATCTGGGTAATCTGACTTCTTTTCCTATTTGTATTCCCCTAATTTCCTTCTGTTGCATAGTTGCCCCATCTAGCATTTCAAGCATGATGTTGAAAAGGAGTGGGGATGTTTGACATCCCTGTTTTGTTCCTGACTTCAGCAGAATTGCTTCAAGCTATTTTACATTTAGGATGATATTGTCTGTGGGTTTCTCTTATAGATAGCTTTTATTATGTTAAGGTATGTTTCCTCTAATCCTGTATTCTCTAGACGTTTATCATGAATGCATTTGGGATTTTGTTAAAGCTTTCTTCAGCCTCTATTGAGATGATCATGTGATCTTTTTTTTTTGTCTTCAAGTACATTTATGTGGTTTATTGCATTTATTGACTTGTGTATGTTCAACCATTGCTGCATCTCAGGGAAAAAGCTAATTTGGTCATGGTGGATAATCTTTTCAATGTCTGTCTATATTCTATTTGCAACTATTTTTTGAGCACGTTTAAACCCCTGTTCATCAGGGATATGGGCCTGTAGCTTTTGCTTGCTGTGTCTTATCTGGTTTTGTCATCAAAGCAACGCTGGCTTCATCGAAGGATTACAGGAGTGTTCCTTCTATTTCTTTCTTTATTTTCTTTCTTTTTTCTTCTTTTTTGAATGGTTTAGGACAGATTGGCTTTCAAAGTCTGTTAGAATTCTGCTGTGAATTTACCTGGCCCTGGACATTTATTTTAGCTGGAAGAGTTTTTATTACTATTTCAGCTTTCTCATTTTTTATGAGTCTATTTATGTTGTTGACTTCTTGGTTTATTTTCGGTGGTTTGGCTCAATCTAGAAACTCATCCATTTCTTTTAGGTTTTCTATCTTAATTGAGCACAGGTTTTTAAAATAACCTCTTAAAATATTCTGAATTTCTTTAGTGTCTTGCATTTCTCTGTTTCCATCAGCCGTGTGTGTGTGTGTGTGTGTGTGTGTGTGTGTGTTCTTGGGCATCATTCAGGCATTTATTCTTCTTAGGTTTTTTGTTTGTTTGTTTGTTTTTTTAGAACATCTGAATTTTTTAATCCTTCTTTACAGGTTACCTAGACCACTTTTGATTAAGAAAACTGTAGAAAGTTAGTAACTGCCACAAGCAGACACCAGGTGGTGGCACGTGTCAATTTTCAACAGAGTCCTGCTTTGCGGGGTATCTGAGTGCGCTGCTCAGGGGCTCTGCTCAAACTTGCTGGAATCACTCATGGCAGATTTTAGTCCACAGGTCGCTTTTCCACATATTTCTTTGTAAACTCTTCAGCATTCTTACAGAATTTTTTATGGTCCTTAGAGTATTCTTCAGTTAGGTCAGCCCGGAGTGGGTGCTCAGGCTGGGGGTCGTTCACCAGTGCTATGAGGGACTGGATTACTTGGTCGGTTTTGGTGGCTGGCTTCCAGTTTTCAGCACTAATTACCAGCAGACAGACCTGCCCCTTCTCATCAATGTTAGGGTGGTAGATCTTGTTTTTAAATGTGATCTTGGGTGGTTTAATTGGGTACTCTGCTGGAAAGTTGATTTCAATTCTGAAGGCCCCCTTGTCATATGGAGGGTTGTCAGGAACAATAAGCCCTTGCCAAGTCAATAAATTAGCTTCATCAACCTGGATGTTACAGAAGTTTTTCATTCCACATTTGCGGATCTCTTCAAGCTCCTTCATCAGCCTCCTGCTGGCTGCCATCTTGGATCTGGTGCTCAAGTTTTTTGTTCTTTCTTTAGCAAACATTACCACCTAGGAGTGGTAGGTTTGAGAGAGCAAATGTTGGCTTGATCTTTCATATTGGTATTTTTGCAATGAGATCTGGGGATGTAGACTGCTTTTCTTATGTCTACATCTGCTATGGACAGAAGGCAGAAGAGAAGATGTCCAGGTGGGTTGGGCGTTGAAGTTGGAAATGGCTTGGGTTGGATAAAGTCAGGTGGACAGGGGAAACTAGGCTTGTATCCAGGATGTGCTTCCTGGTCCAAACTATAATATGGGGTAGATCTGAATGGGTGGAAAGGTTGTTTGTAGCCAAGGAAGGGCTTACGGGTTACGGGGAAGGTAGGGTGGGTTGTGGCAAAAGCTTAGGATTGGTTGTAGCCCAGGAAAGAACAGTCAGATAAATCAGATGGGCCCCTGGGCTGAATCTGGTGGTTTGGGAAGAAGGAGTAGGTGGGGAGGGTCAAGGAAACTCAATGGGCTAGACCCTGGAGAAGGATGTGGGAGATCTAGCTGTGTAAAGTAGTTCAATGCATCACACCCCACACCTGTCAGATTTTCGTAGTTTTTATCTCTTCCTACTGCTTTGAAGTTGTTTTTAAATTTTTTTTTTCATTTTTAAAATTAAAGCCAGGTGGTGGTAGCACATGTCTTTAATTCCAGTACTTGGGAGGCAGAAGCAGGCAGATCTCTGTGAGTTCAGGCAAGCCTGGTCTACAGAGTTAGTTCTGGGACAGCCAGGGCTGTTATACAGAGAAACTCTGTCTTGAAAAAAAAATTGTGTCCCCAGTTTATATCTATAATCTTTAAGAAGGTAAATTGCTGTGGGATAATGCTCTTGTACACTGTAAAGATTTGTCATTTATATCAGGTTAATAAAATGCTGATTGGCCAGTATCCAGGCAGGAAGTGTAGGTGGGGTGACCAGACTAAGAGAATTCTGGGAAGAGGAAAGGCAGAGAGGCAGTCACCAGTCAGACATAGAGGAAGCAAGATGAGAATGATTTACTGAGAAAAGATACCAAGTCATGTGACTAAACATGGACAAGAATTATGGATTAATTTAAATTGTAAGAGCTCATTAATAATAAGCCTGAGCTAAAAGGCCAAACAGTTTATAATTAATATAAGCCTTTATATTTTTTTGGGGACTTAACGGCTGTAGTACTGGGTGGGACAGAAACTTCTGTCTACAGTAAATGTTGTAGAAGTGCAGCCATATCAGTTAGGAAAGTATTTCAATGCACAAAAAGTGCATTATTGTGTTTGGTTTTGAATAACAGAGTATGTTTCAGCAAATTCAAGCAGGAAATAAGTATATGGTATATAATTAATGTATTAGCTAGCTAGGACTATCAAATATATTATGACAGACTGAATAGCTCAAACAACAGACACTTATTTTCTTATAATTATTCAAGCCAAAAGTCCACTATCAAGGTTCTGGCCAAGTCTCTCAGAACAGAGAATGATCTAGGTTTGGCATCCTTTTAGTTTGGCACAAGTGGGTTTATTAAGTATATAGGAAACCACAGTAATAAAGAATAAATGACAAGTAGCAGTCTGATAAACAGAGAGCAAACTATCATTGAATTAGGTGCTCAAAACATCCAATAGAAATTGACCAGGGAAGCCTTGTTGAGGCTATCAGCCGGAATTTCCAACAGAGAGAGACCTAGACACAGAGAGAGAGTCCCTTCAAGCGAGGCTTCCAAGTAAAAGAATAGCAATAGCTAGGGAGGACACCACTGAATCAGGCACTCATAACATCCTACAGATACTGATGTGGGCTGGGCTGTCATCTGGAGCTGCCAACTGAGCTTGCTTTCCACTGATAACCTTCCCTTGGCTGGGCTCCCAGCTTCTCTCCCCCATTGTAAACACTTTTATCTCACGGAGTAAACAAATCACGGCTGTTGGAAATGGTCTACCTTCCAGCTGTTTGTAAGGACATGATATTTTTTTTTACACTTGGGCTGTTCTCTACCTCCCCTGTTAGAGGGGTCAGACCACCCCCAAGACAAGGCACCTGGAAGGACATTTGTCATAGACATGCTTTGGCTGAAAGTGTTGGGTAGGGAGGGTGGCAGCAAGCTATTTCCTGAGCTCGCTCCTCAGTGAGCTCAAATAGCACATGACAAAAATAATGATAACATGCATTGTACCTTGTGGCTCTTTTCTCAATGTGTGCACATCTAAAGGACATGATGCTACGCCATCTCTAGAAGGGACAAAACGGCATACTGAAGAATCTAAGCTGAAAAAATTAGAGAAACCAGGGGCAGAAAGGCTGTCTGACTTTCTTTTCGTGTGTGCAGCAGTCATAAAACTCCTTTGAGACAGAGTCTCCCTATACCAGGGCAAGGCAATAGCCTTTCTCATCACGGCTGCAAAGGACCTGAGCACGCGCACTGCTTTTCACTGTCTTCACGCTTCCCCAGGTGTCTCTGAGTGACTCTCCTTGAGCTTATTGTTGTAGTCCAGAGATCTTTGTTCCGCTGTTTCCTCATAAAAAATATAAAACCATATAAAATCATAGCCTGGTCTACAGAGCGAGTTCCAGGACAGCCAAGGCTACACGGAGAAACCCTGCCTTGAAAACCAATGTGTGTGTGTGTGTTGTGTGTGTGTGTGTATGTGTGTAAAATCATTTGCTTTGACCATTTCTTTTGACTTCTGTCTCAAGGAGGGCCCTATGTATGTATATAAAGTCAACAGTTTCCATGGAGATCACCTTCCTATCACAACTGAGTGTCTAGAATTTGTTTCTTAAAGCATATTGACGATTCTTTTAAAGTCAATGTGACTCCTGGAAGTTAGATGTTGTGATACTGGTTGCTTTACACTGTATTGCTTTTGCATTATTGTGACAAAATGTCTGACTCCAGTAAATTCTGGGAGGGGCTAGGGTTGACTTTGGTTTACAGTGTTGGACGATTTTGTCCATGGTCCTTGGCTCCATTGATTCTGGATCCATGGTGAGGCAGAACATTGTGATAACTGGACCGCATGGCAGTGTCTGCTCACCTTGTAACAGGAGACAGAGCGAGAGAGGGACCAGGGACTAAATATCACCTTCAAAGGCATGCTCCTGTGCCATACCTCCTCCACATACTTTCCAGTCTCCAAAACAGTGACACTGCCCAGGGACACAACCTTGAGAGAGATTTCAGATTTAAGCTATCATCCCGGGGGGGTCATACTTCATAACTTAAAATCCTGAAGTCTCTCATATGTAAATATCATTAGTGAATCTCAGGTCCCGTGTCTATTCTAGCAACAAAGGACTCTGGGAAAAGTGGACTTCTGCCTGCTACAACACTGTGTGTGAAAGAACGGCACGAAAATTCTCAGGCAGGCCTTTCACCGTCCTTTAGTCCCCGCATGCAATCCCTCCGCCACGATGCCAATGTTCACCGTGAACACCAACGTTCCCCGCGCCTCAGTGCCAGAGGGGCTTCTCTCCGAGCTCACCCAGCAGCTGGCGCAGGCCACCGGCAAGCCGGCACAGTACCTCACAGTGCACGTGGTCCCGGACCAGCTAATGACTTTTAGCGGCTCTAGCGACCCCTGCGCCCTATGCAGTCTGCACAGCATCGGCAAGATCGGCTGCACACAGAACCGCACCTACAGCAAGTTGCTGTGCGGCCTGCTGGCTGATCGCCTGCGCATCAGCCCTGACCGGATCTACATCAACTATTACGACAGAAGTGCAGCCAACGCGGGCTGGAACGGTTCCACCTTCGCCTGAGTGCTGGCCTAATAACTTACCTGCACCGCTGTTCTTGTTCTTGGAGCCTTGCTGCACGCAGTGTTCCGTTTTCGTCCACACGTAGCAATGCCCACCCTCCGACCGGAAGAAAATAATGGTTTAGAGAAAAAAAATTTCTCAAGCAGAAGAAAGAGACACAAAGTTTCTGCGTGGTTAAAAATAACAACTCAAACACGGTGTGACCCATGGACTGATCGCCTCAGATTGCAAGTCGTTTCCTTCTTGAGCAATTGTGACTTCTTTGGAACATGGTACAAACCTTTGTTTCTTGGGTGGCAATTTCTCCATGGATAAAAGCAGTTAAAGACATTCTACAAGTGGTTGCATGCTCCTAATTTTTAATGATTAAGAAAATGGGGCGATAACTTTTTTCTTCTAGGAAGTGTCAGTTATTTTGGACCAATGAAGCAACCTAAATAAAGAAACCGCCATGGGAAAAATGTCTTAAACATTTGCTAAAGTACGGTCTCATCCCTAAAAATACTAGGCCAAGAGGGCACTAGAGATTAGTTCTCTGACCTTCAAAGAATAGGAAAAAATGTTAAATATTTAACATGTTCGAGAGCATGATAAAAATAGAAGGTTCTTCGGCATGGTTTGCTAAGCAACACTAGCCTTGCTGTCTGCTTTGGAACGAGCAATGGCCCCACCTACTGTAGACTATAAAGGTGTGAGGAGGGTGTGTACAGAAATGCCACCCCCACTGCAGGCCTGTGACAGCCTAGGCCTGGGGAGGGGGGAGGGAAGGTGGCCATCAGACCCTGGACAGCTGGGGCCTTTGTTCCTGGGAAGCAAATGACTTTGGTTCATCTTGCAGAAAGGGGGTTGAGAAGAGAGATAACCTTGGCTCCTGTCCTCTGTCCTCCAACATCCTTCGTCATTGGCCAAGGCCATAGGTCAACGGAGTGCGTTGATGGGGGTCACAGAAGCCAGACTCTCAGAGCAGGTGGGGACAGATAGAGAGGGTGATTCTGGAGAGATAACCGAAAGTCAAATCAAAAACTGTCATACTATCTAACTGTCTTGATAAAGGACTGACCAGGGCGAGCAGGTGCCACTCGGGTGCGACGGCTTGGCTGGGTGCTGAGGATTATCATAGCAGATTCGCAGCAGCTGGTGCCTGATAGACTGACTGGCAGGCAGGGCTGGCCGTGAGGGTCCCTCCTAAGAGGCCGATAGAGGATCTGTCATCAGCTCCTGCTGCTTTCATCACGGGCCAAGGACTCACACAGCCCTGGAGTGTCCAGAGCCGTAACTGCAGCAGAGCAGAGCAGAAGAGACTCACTCCAGTGGCTTTCCAGCTCAGACGGAGAACGTTATACTCCTCAAACCAGAATTAAAACTGTGGCTCTCTGTGAGGGAGGGGGCAGCTTTGACTGTTTAGAAAGGAGGCTTTAGGTAGAAGCCTCAGAGGTGAAGTTTATACCATCTATCAGAACGTGGGAAGAATTTGAAGGGAAATGGGGATCTGCCATGAAGTGAGACGATCCGGACTTTCAGTCGTAAGATGAATCAGTTCCGGCCACCTATCATCTAGTGCACTTACGTACATAGCTAATGATTTTCTATTAGATCAGTGGTCCTCAACCTTCCTAATGCCACACCCCCTTTAATACAGTTCCTCGTGTTGTCGTGACCCCCAACCATAAAATTATCTTCGTTGCTACTTCATGACTGTAGTTTTGCTACTGTTATGAACTGTCATGTAAATATCTGATATGCAGGATATCCGACATGTGACCCCTGTAGGGTCGCGACCCACAGGTTGAGAACTGCTGTATTAGATACTTGAAGTTTCCTGCAAGAACTGAGCTTAGGTGTTCTTATCACACACTTAGCTGTTGGCTTCTGGCTGTGCTAAGAGAGCAGGCATTAAGATTCAGTGGGGCTGAGATCTCCAGTCTCCTGCCTGGACAGATGACATGAATCCAGAATGTACAATACATGAATAACTTTCTCACAAACCAAAGAACTCAACTATGGAGCTCTGGTAATCAACAACTCCCGAGCCTTATATAGGAAAGCTATTGGCCTTATTACATGGCAGTCGAAAAACCTAGAAAGTGTGCATGAATGTAGCTACCTTAAATAGGTGAGTTTAAGATTGTGAGCCAAATAGTCAAGGGGCAATCCCCAGATAGAGGAGACTGAGTGGTGCCCATTGGGAGGGTGTTTGGTAAATTAAGTGGAACCATGGATGGGAGAAAGCACATACAAACTTTGCTGTGGGCCTCAGTTTACTCTTTTAGAAATGGGCAGTGGTGGCACACACTTCTAATCCCAGCACTTGGGAGTCAGAGGCAGGTGCATCTCTGTGAGTTCTATTATTTTATATTTTACCATGCAGCTCATGGTTTATTGGTAAAGTTCTTGGGCATCTGTCTCCTTCAGTGTATGTTGTATGGCTTCTCTTTGACTCTGCCTACTCTTTTCTCCTTCGTCTGCTTCGAATTCCCACCTTGCCCTATTCTGTGTTGCAATAGGCCCAAAGCAGCTTCTTTATTAACCAAAGGTATTCACAACATATAGAGCGGAATCCCATATCACCTCCCCTTTTCTGTCTAAATAAAAAGGAAGATTTTAACTTTAACATAGTAAAATTACATACAAAACAGTTATTAGCCAAGAATTACAATTACAACATTTTGTTCATTTACATTTGCCAAATTAAGGAAAACATTTTATCATCTATCCTATCTTTGTGAGTCTAAAGTTTTATATCTAATCTATCTTTTATAACTATCTTTCTTCAACTTTATCAAAGACTCCAGAAGGATATAATATTTCCTAAGTTAGCAGGAAGTACATTGTAAGCAACTTCCAAAACTCTAGAGTTGACAGAGACATCTCGCTGCCTCGACAGTCACCCAAAGTTCTTCTGTATCATTGGAGCATCCATCTTCAGGCTACAGGCCTATAGTATCCAACAGATTTTCCATGAAGCAGGAAATTTCAAAGACAGTTCCATCTATATTGGTAGTTTGTAAATTACTTTCTTCTCTGTGCTAAAGAATGTCTGGCAGACTCTTTGATGAAGCATGAGCCCCAAAGGACCATCTCACCTTTAGGCGAGTTCAGCAGTCATTTTTCTGTGGGTCCTGCATGTCTAGTTCATACAGCATAATGTCAAACGGTCTAGGCAAGAGCAGTTTCTTGCCCAAATGGCTAGCAAACTCCATAAGGAGCCTTTTTGATGCCCATCTTCCTGTTGAAGAAATTGGTGCTGCCATGAGGAGATGTGTCTCACATCAACAGAACCCTAAGTTATTTAAATGCCATATTCTACAGTTCTCTGAAGTGGTTGAAGATTGCCTACCTATGTGGAATACAATCTCTATGTATCTAAAGAACCTGGTTAGTTTAACTATAAGTATGACAAACATGGATGACTATTGACCTATAATACTTAGCATCTGTATAGCTTAAAGACTATTCATATTATATTAAACAATCTTTAAACAACTGTGCAGCAAATGAGGACAATGACCTCGAAATGTAAACAATGTATAAGTATCTTGTTCTGAAGTAAAAATGTATATTGCAATATGATAAATATATCCTAAAATTGTATCAATATACAAAATGTCTTAAGCAGAGTTAGAAACATGCATGCATACAATATGACAAATAACTTTGCATAGGTGCACAAATCTTGTAAACAGAAATAGAGGCATATTCAATATAACAAATATAATTTGAATTTGTATCAATATACAAGAATCTGTACCAATGTAAATTGTCTATAAACAATAGCTCACAAGTATTCACACTGTTACTAATATTATTAGTGTGAGAAAGTTCACACTAATCTACCTATCATCCCATTCAATTTCTTTTTCTTTTTTTTTTCAGTGAGATCCCTGAGCCTACAAAACTTCCACCCTAAACCCCAACCCTATACCAGTTATAATCAATCTTTAATTGATGTCCCTAACCCTGAGGACAAACTTGCCTTCCCTTGCCCTATTCTGCACTGCAATAGGCCCAAAGCAACTTCTTTATTAACCAATGATATTCACAACTTTCAAAGGGGAAATCCCACATCATGTAAGGATCCAGAGCAGAGAGAGAAAATAGTAGATTGGATATGGCCATGACAGAAACAGGAACAGAGAAGAGAAAGGGGGGGGGGGAAGGGAGAAAGAGAGAGAGAGAGAGAGAGAGAGAGAGGAAGAGAGAGAGAGAGAGAGAGCTGTTATGCAGAAGAGTGGAAGATGCAGACAACACGTGCTGGTAAGAAGAAGAGGCTCAGAGAACACAGCTGAAATAGCAGGGTTATAAGGAGAATGAAAAACTGGGGGCAGGGAAGCTCATGAGCAGGAGAGAGTTTATGTTATGCGATGAGGAGAGAAGAGCTAGGCTGCTAGTATGGACTCTGAAATGTGTAACAGGCATTTGTGAGACTGGGGTGCCTGGTAACCTAATAGGTACCACAGATAACCATTTATCCTTTTCGCCAGTGATGAGGGAAATGATTCCTTTGGTACAGGGAAGCAGTGCCACAAGTTCCTGAGGAATACTGTCTAACAGTCAGAATTTGGGGAAATGGCATTTCCTTTGGATCTGGCAGTCGCCTGCAAAGTCACTCAAGGGAAAGGGGGTTATGAAGAGTTGAAGCAGGAAACCAGAGACAGGACTAGATGAAGACCCCCGTTGGAGAGCCGCGCCCTAACCCCTTGTCTGGGCACTGATGAAGGTAGTTTCAGTGAGAAGGAAACACAGACACAGCATGAGCCACTTAAGACAGGGCAGGTCTTCATCTGGGGGACGACCTGAACTGCTGAGGGTTTGTAAGATCAGAGCCCACTGTCTGCTTACAAGCTAGCTAAGCTAGACAGAAGAAATGGGCAGGGATGGCCATTGCTAGGGGGTACTTGTACCCTCTTCTTTCTGGAGCGCCAAAGAGTTGATAGTCACCTGACTGAGTTAGAGGTGCTTGTTTCCAGGTAGCCAGACTGTCAGGTAGCCTTTTCCTGTCT